GGGCGGGGCTGGCAGTAGTTGCTGTATGAGTAACCGCCCTTTTCGTTCCCTTGTGTTCATACTACAGGAGTCCTGGGCCGACAAAGTCAATGAAGACCGAAATCTTGGTCTTTTCAACTGCACCAAATTGGGCGTCAAGGGCCACGTGAACAAGGACTGCTCTGCCGACATTGCGGTCTACCTGAGCGACGTGTCTCTGCAGGACACGCGGATTGTGGCCAAACAGCACATCACTCAGTGCGTTCTGCTTTAGTCACCTTGTATACGTTAATTTGTCCAGTAGAAATATGCCGATATTTTAGGCATATTTAGGCCTGAACTTAGTGGACATGGTTGCGTGCTGATTTTGCCATCCTTTTATGACCCATTTTCGAGCTCTTGCCGTGGTTGCTGGTTGGTTGACTTTTTCAGGTCCTCCGGTTTTATCCACATCCCTCCCATGCGTGTACACTTCACTGGGAATCCAAGCATATCAATGTGTTAATAAACAATGGTTGCCTGTTAATGCAGGGCACCATTGAGCCAGCAAGTTTTGTCCGATTAGGTGACTGGCGCCATTATCCAATGGGTATGGAAGGACCAAGTCACGCAAGGGGACCAATCACTGAATGGTAAACTATCGAGCGGCGTTACAGCTGCTAATCTATTCGTCCCCCCACCTACTTTCAGTTGCCGCTGTTGCGCAACCAACCCCTGCTCTGTTAGTCCTGGTGATTGCGCCATAGGGAGTGTTCTGCGCCCGCCAGCTCTCATGATTGTCGGATCGACGTGAGCTGGAGGTCTGCATGACGTATGCAGACCAACTAAGTGCATTCGCGTCAACAGAACTCCTTATGAGTCAAGAATTTCGACTGTCCTCTCAGCCTTCCCTCTCTAGTTTTCATTGTTTTTTGGGCAGTTTGTGGTGTTATTGCAAAGCGGGGGTAACGAGGACCTTTGGATGGTGTCTGCGGTCTTAAAGTTGGCCCGTCTACTTCTTAATTAGACGAGGGCAACTGATCTTCTGTACAATACACCCATCACTGATATTTTATGTCAGCATAGGTTGTTATTTAAATCGGGGCAGCCAAATTACACTACTGCTGAAGAGTTTTGCGAACGCATTCACAGTTCCATTTCTTACCCAGAGGCGGGTGGGGCGCAGGGACAGTGACTTGCGCGCGAGTTAGCTACAAGGCATGCGCAACTAACGTTTTGTGTTACAATGTCTTGTTACGAACTGCCTACTGTATAAAACAAGAAGGGACTACTATTAACCATTTATTCACTATGCATGAAAGTTGGCATGCTCTATTCAATAGCCGTAGCCATGGCCGTATCCATACTCCTTCTCTTCGTGGCATTCGCTGCCCTTGCAGACTGTAGCGCAGTGTCCGTCATGGCAGTCGTAGCCCTCGTATTCACCGCTGTGGCAGTGTTCCGAGCTGCAGCCAGAGAAGTCTACGCGACCGCTGAACTGGACGTGACCCTTGTACTGACTCTGGCCCTTGGAGCCACCCTTCTCGAAACGTTTCCCGTAGCCCTCCTGTTCGCCCCAGCTCTCACCACTGGCCTGCGAGTAGGCGTGGGATTCGTAGCAGCCCTTGGGGTGACAAATGTAGGCACAGCGGCCAGCATTGCAGCCGTAGCCGTCAAAACCGTCTTTGTGGCAGGTTGTCTCGTAGCAGCCGTCGAAGTAGATGTCGCCCTTAAAGGCGGCCTTGCCGCCGAAGTGGCCTCCCTGGTGGTAGGATGGGAGGTAGTGGGCCGAAGCCACAGCGATGAGGGCGCAAAGGATGACGAATTTCATGTCTTGTAGGCTTGAGGGATGAGCTACTTGCTGGTTGGGGTAGCAGGGCCTAAGCGCCGACTTTTATGATGTACGAGGCGACCGAGCAGCCCGACTAACTGCGCAGTTGAGACTGCAGTCGGTTCATTCTGGTCGATAGTTAAGAAATCAATGCCTTACACAGTGCAAGTGTAATAGACAATTGGTTGTTGATACGTTCACTAACCGATGTACGTCTCTTCCGAGGACTCACACACTCACAAGACATATCTGGTGCGGAGGGAGGGGGGATTATACATTAAAAATATACTGAAACCGCACTCGCCAACTATTTCTAATTCAGAAAGAATTAGGCTCTCTCGACGCAGTTATTCTGGATTCTGCAGCCGCAACCTCACAAAGCTATTCCAGCTACTTTCACTTGGTACTCTTCTCCATCTTCGGAATTCTGAGCAAGTCACAGGTCATGACTGGTTTAAGCACCCTGGTTTGTTTGTGAACCTCGTCGCTGCGTTCCAGTACATTTCAACCTCGCGTTAGACCCAGGGACATTGAGTGTCCCTTTACCACATTTAGCTTTATACTGGAGCAATTTGAATGGCATTTTTGGGGCGAGGAGAGAACTATTGCATGTTCGCTTGTCGATAGCATTGCTTAATTAGCCAACACTTCGTGTTGGCTTCCCAAAACGCTTTTTTTAAAGATCTAACAAAGATGTGACTGGTAAATCGTTTAGGCATTCGAACTGAGCTTTTTCCGTCTCTGACCCGACAGTAAATTTTTCGAGTGCCACTCTTCCCTCGTTTGGCCATGAAGTAACAGACATTCCCAGACTTCTCTAACAAGCAGGTGGTACTACCACTTGATGGGAGGATGGTAGGTTCCTGTGTCCTCGCCTCTTTTCGATGCTGCTTATCCGACCAGTGTTCACGAAGCCGCGCACTCCCGAATCGCCTGCCAACTGTCAGCGAATCACACTAAACCACTACTCTGACATACCCCGGCGACGGCAGAGGTCATTCAGATGCGGTGTTTACCAGACATGCATGAAGAGTAAACGTGGGCACACCGTTTCACTTCTCGCATCTTTTGGTCCGACCAATAGACATCCACTTGGGTTTTCATTCTCTATCAGTACTGAGCGCCCTCCCCAGGAGCTCATCCCTACTTAGAAGTGACTTCGGCCTATGGATGACACTTCACACACCACTCTGGTCGCCCCCCGGCGCAGGACCCGATAGTTTGGCCGTCCACACCACCGTCGTGCACCACTGATTGCCAGAGGGAGCCATTTTGACTTGTGGCTAGTGAAGCAAGCGGTAACAAGGACATCCTGCACATCATTGGTCCCAGTGCCGCTGTCCGAACGTGTCAAGCAGGATAAAGGCGATAGGCCCCACAGCCGCCGCCGAACTCGTACACGCCACACAAATATTTGTTCCCAGAACCTCAGAAACCAGATTCCACTCACTCAAATCGCTGATAGCTGCCATAAGACCGCTTTCGGGGGGAGCGATCGAGTCTCATCACACCCGTGGTCATGTCCAGCCGGCCTGACCATCTAGCTGCGCAGTTATTTGGAAACTACTTTAAGACCGAAGTTCTCTCCTCTTCCGAGTATAAAACTGCCGAAAGAAAAATCAATAGGATGTCCTATGAATTAAATAGAGCGAGCAGTTGTTTCCCGGTTATTCCTTTTATAAAATAGTGCTCTCTTTCGCACGCGTGTCTTGAAGGGTGCTCAAGTGAGATGCAGCACGCTACTGTGAGCGAGAATTTCATCAGGTTATCCTCTCCGCCAGCTAGTACTTCAGCCCTACCTTAGTATTTTTTAGCTTAATAGGCTGTCATTCTACATGAAACAACCAACAAAACGCTACTTCCGCTGACGCGCGACAGGCGTGCTTGAATGTTCGTTTGCGCCTCCCCACCCTGATCGCCGAGGGCCAGCCGCCGCGTGGTCATACTAGCAGTCCGCATGGTTGTGTGCCTTGGGAATTCCTCCGAACGCCCAAAAATGGCCCAAGATCTTCGGACCATAAATAGCAGTTAACTTTGCATATTTCGACCGGCCTGAATTGAGGGGACAGGGGAGACGGAGGCGTTTTGGATGCCTTTCGCAGCGGGGTAGATCGCTTGAAAAGGAAGACTGTTTTGGAGAGAGGGTGGGGGCCGGTGTACCGACCAGAGCTACTGCCGAAAACGAATCACCTCGTCAGATGCACCCGGACGTAGTATGGTTGCAGCCGCGATGTATAGGTAGCGTGGACCTAGTGCCTTCGAAAAATTCTTCGTCCCGCCAAAGTGCACAGTGCTTGTACTACCTGCGCTTGTGATAATCCGTGATTTAATCGGTCCCGATTATGTCTTCAGGCCTGGTGATTTACGGCCGACTCACTCTCTCTTTCTCTCCGTGATGGAGACGGATTACTTAAAGTCCAAGAGTCACCAGGTTTTGGATAGACTGTATCGGACCGGATTTTGAGTTGACCTCCTCTTCGATCCATCCGGGTTGGGGGGCGATGGCGTCGGATAGAAGGTAGCAACACAGAATTCGTTGGACGGACGACGAAAAGGGTGCAGAAACTGCCACGCTTGTCCTTCTTAGATGCTGTGATATGTCCTCCCTTTGCTGTCACAGCGAGTGCGGACTGTCTCATTTGAAGGCACGTCAATGTGCTTCATTCGAAGGGCGGCTCTTAGGCAGCGGTGATCAAACACATCCAATTTTGGAGCATCTTTCACGCGCACAGCCCAGCATTCAAAACCGCACAGGTGGACTGACAGAGCAGATGACGGGCTCACACACATCGGGTCAGGAGAGGATGCCACCTTCACTCTGTCCATTTCACATCAGCCTCTCCCGAGTAGTTTCTGACTGCCTTCTTCTCCAGATTGATATCTGTTAATCACGAGTGGTATCCTCATAAGTGATGTAACTTGAAAGCGCTTTTGACTTTCCCAGCTCTCATGGATAAACCGACTGATTTATTGACTTAATTCAGTCCTGACACCACGAACTATAGACCACCGAAGCTTGAGGCTAGCAAGGCGACATCGTCAGCGTACTCATCCGGGTATTGGGCGATCGGTAGAGATTTTTATGAACCACAACTTCCACGGTAGTGGAACGATAGTAGGCCCTCATCACGGTAGTGATTTTTGACGGCGTACCGTCTAGTTTCCTTATCTGCCATGGAGACTCACGATGGACGGAATGGAACGTTGCGACAATCGCAACGATCTATCAATGTCCTTGATCTGTTTTAGTCGCCATAACAACGCTGGGTGGGGCAGAGGGTTTTCCTAACTGTCTCGCTCACTGAGGACTTCAATGTTGACTACATTATGCTGTGTAGTTGGCCTCACTACAACATTTGTTTCATTATTTTTTGCTAATTGAGCAATTGAATTAGGTGTCTGCCATGAAGCTCCAGTTCGAGACGGAGAGGACGGTGTGTTAATTTTAACCACTGAATATTATAATACTGTAAGTTGATCAGAAGAAGAAACGATCGCTGGAACAATGGCTTTATTCGCCTGACGTTTCGGATTCTCTCTTGAATCCATCATCAGAGACAGTTGCAGAAAAGGGTGGCTAGTGTACAGGAAGTCGCAGTATTTATAGGATGCGGTCGCCATGCTACCGCATACCTACAGCAATTAACCGTGCTCACTTCATCAAGGATTGTTGCCCGCTGGTGCGCTAATTGCTTGATGGCCGGCATGCAAGTTGTTAATTGCTGACATCTCATCACCCGTGTTGGATGCTGGCGTGATGATTGCTCGGCCATCTGGCTCACGTGCTTGCGCGCTCCTCGAGTGGTCAATTGCTTTGGCCAGTCTATGCCTCAGGACAGAATATGGAGTGGGGATGTCGTTGCACTTGTTGATAGACTGAGGTCCCGTGAACCATGACTCAAGCAACTCGCGGCTCACGCGATTATCCCCTCTCGCGAGAATTTCGGCCTCATCGAACTTGAATGTGTGGCCGGGTCTCGTCGAATGGGCCGCGACCTGAGAGTTGGCGTCATTTCTCCGTACAGCTGCCACGTGTTCGGCGATTCGCGTCCGGAGCAGTCTTCTATTTTCTCCGACGTAGTTGCTTTGTCTGCAACTGCACTCTTGAAGGAGCACGCGGATCATACGTCTTCCGTGCTGAAATACTGCGCGTCTCGTTAGCTCCGTGTTTACCGGAGGTTTGTATGAAACACAATTCGGCAACACGTTGTTATCGAGACACCTGTGCAGAAACCGGATCTGCGCGTAAGTAGAGGCCTCTCGAAGGGCGAAAGTTTCCCATCGTCGGGCCGATCGGAGCGCGTCGCGCCCAAACAAATTGCCGATACAAACGAAAATGCGAGTTCCAGGAACTAGTTGATCAGAAGAAGAAGCGATCGCTGGAACAATGGCTTTATTCGCCTGACGTTTCGGATTCTCTCTTGATGAGATGTCAGCAATTAACAACTTGCATGCCGGCCATCAAGCAATTAGCGCACCAGCGGGCAACAATCCTTGATGAAGTGAGCACGGTTAATTGCTGTAGGTATGCGGTAGCATGGCGACCGCATCCTATAAATACTGCGACTTCCTGTACACTAGCCACCCTTTTCTGCAACTGTCTCTGATGATGGATTCAAGAGAGAATCCGAAACGTCAGGCGAATAAAGCCATTGTTCCAGCGATCGCTTCTTCTTCTGATCAACTAGTTCCTGGAACTCGCATTTTCACTTGTATCGGCAATACTGTAAGTAATGGCGGCTGAATTTCATATTGGACAGAGAATTGGGCCAATAATTACGACGCTTTCCTCTCATCGAACAGTCAAAACCGTCCAGACCTCTCCACTGCCACATGGTGAGAGTTTTTGCTCTCCTCAGGATATCCGCGTTTGGCTACTTAGTGTTTCCTCCCATCATTTGGTTGCTCGGGCAAACACTTTCATTCACAATGCGTGACGTAGTCAGCGAAAGACGCGCGTAATTGATCGGATGTATGCTTGCTTGCTAAGCATGCTGTCT